TAAGGACTCATATGTTAAGGCTTTCGGGCCCAAAGACCATACTACCTAGACTCTAAACCTTCAACTCCTACACCCTCAAACACCTCAACCTTAGAAACACCCAAAGGGTCAAACCCATAACAACTCGACATCCTCAACCCCCGAAAGCCCCAAGACACCCATGCTTGGTCACGGATTCCCCTAAACCCTCGAAGGCAACCCTAAGTTAGAGCAACCCTTCACCCTAGGGACCCCTTATAAAGCCAAACTTAAACTAAGCCCTGAACCCTTAAAGGCAACCCTCAAAAATTCTAGAAACTCGAAAAGGAGACCCGTGAAGGAGAGGTTCATGGGTATTTATAAGGGTAGTCAGAAGTAGGGTAACTATAACCATATCCCATACCAGGGCGCTTATCACCCCACTCATATTATAGCTACCCGAATCTCCAGATAACCCCACCAAATTTTCAACCAGAACCCCGAAACCCTAAACCCCTAAACCCTAAACTCCTGGACCCTAAGCCCCATACCACAAAATTCAAACCCTGTACTGTTGATGATATAAATCCTGCATTACCTTAAGGATCCTAAACTATGGGAATTATGGTATATTCCTTATTATGGGTAATGCAGGATTTATATCATTAACCGATGCTTCCCTAAACTCCTAGACCCCTAAAACCCGAAACCCTAAACTCCTGGACCCTAAACCCGATACCACAAAACTTGAGCCCTATACTGTTGATGATATAAATCCTGCAATACCTTAAGGACCCTAAACTATGGGAATTATGGTATATTCCTTATTATGGGTAATGCAGGATTTATATCATCAACCGAATGAAGCTTGCCAGAGACTCCGATGTCCCTTAATTAAGGAATATGCCTTAAAATTATAGTAAGATCCCTAATATGATTCAAGGACTGTTCCTGAATTAAGGGACGCAAAATTGAAGCCCTAAACCCCTAAACCCCGAAACCCTAAACTCCTAGACCCTGAACCCCATACCATAAAACTTAAACCCTGTACTTCCCTAAACCCCTGAGATTCCTCGGAGCTCTAGCACCCGGAGCTGCTGCAAGCGACGCGTTCGAGGGCACTTCGGCCCCCGCCGGTCCTTTGGGATTCTGTCTATCCATCTATCTAGATCTATCTATATATATATATATATATATATATATATATTAGGGTTCGACGGTAGATAGGCTTTAGTATAGTATATGGAGGTTTCCGAACATAGGGGACCCTACTAATATAGTACCCTAAATAGTAGGATCCTTCTTTAGTCCTTTAAGCTTCTGGGCTGCTTTGCTTTGGTATATGGGTGGTTGTCAGTATTAGGGTCCCTTTTTGGGTACCCTACTAAATATTCTGTGCCGTACTATAATAGGGACCGCAAAAAGGGTACCATAATTTTGACAACCGCCGATGTGAAAGGCATATGTGTATACATATGTACGTGTGAAACCCCCTCCATCTATATCTGCATGCATTCTGTCCTACTTATACCTAGGGCTCCAGTTCCCCAGATAATGGGGGTGCTAGGTTGCATTACGGTTGCATGCTATATGGCTAGTAACTTACTATTCAAGTAGCTGGAGCCAGGGGGGATGCTGGATTCAAGGTTTGGACTTCTGCGGCAGCTCGTGTAAGCCACGATAACTTGACAACTGCTAGTTCAGGGCTTGCAGGGTGCTGGGGCCTGAGGGTGTTTAGGGGTTCAGGGTTTTAGGGTATCTGCAAAGCTTAAATAGACGCAGGACCCCGGTCGTAGTTGTGAGAATCTGCGTTGGCGGAAGTGCGTTTTGCATACAGGTCATCGGATTGCAGCAAAGGGTCTTCATCACAAGCTCACAACGTTAGACGTAGACGCTAAACTAGCCCTAAATCGCAAACAAGCTCTAAACCATAATAGGACTTAGCGTCTAGTTGCAGAAGCCGGCAAAACCTCCAGACCCCCATTATACGGCAGTAGATTCGGAAATGCATGTCCTGAGCAAGCTTGAACCAGAATCACAAGCCCCACACCCCAAATCAGCACGAGAGAAGACTACCACATCTGAAATTTGCATCGAAGGTCTCACATGCAGCAGTTGGACCACATCCTCAGCGACTCGACTGAGAACTCAAGAGGCTTGGCTTTGAACGAGGTTTCCATGTACCGGGCCCTAGCTGCGCACACTGGGAGTGCCTGGCGGAAGCAGGCAGTTCACCCAAAGGGTCCTAAGTACCTGCGTAGGAAAAAGTGAGGCCTCCATAGTATAGGAATTACAGTCATGGTTTGGGTAAGTCACTAAGTATCTCCCGTGCATAGGTACTTAGGACCCTGTGGTTCCGGTTTAGAGTTAAGAGGTCTTTGGTTCAGGGCATCCCAGAGGCTTTGATGCACACTCCAACTCTCAGCCCCGAAACTTAAACCCTCCCTAAGGGTCCATGTACCCAAATAGTATATACTTTAGGCCCAATGTACCTAGATAGGCAGCACGTTAAGGCCAAAGTAAATACTGTTTGGGTAGATAGACCCCTAGGGCCCTACATGGGGTTGATCCGTCAGAAGGAGAAACTGGTGGAGACCAACACCCGCAAACGAAACCCTAAACCCCGAACCCTAAGCCCTGAACCCTAAACCCCGAACCCTCGACACCAAACCCTAAATACTAAACCCCGAACCCTAAACCCTGAACCCGAAGCTCTGAGATATGGCCGAAGGTCATCCTCCCAAGTCGGACTCGCAGTCACGGAGGAGGTGCAACACCTCAGCATGGCTGAGGGGGTGTTCAGGGGCCTTGGGGATTAGAATATGTAGGGCTTTAGTTGTAGGGCTTGTATGGGGATTTCTCAGGCTACGTATAGGGGCCGCACTAAATGGTTTCTACAGGACGGGGAGCGATATTTATCTATCCAAAGGTAGAAGGAGGGACCCTTAACAAGGACCCCTAGGTATATACCCTTAATTAGCTACTATATACCCATTATATAGCCCATTATAGGGTAGGGGTCCCCATTAAGGGTCCCTCCGTTTGCCCTTTGAATCTAGCGACGACGCGGAGCGCTTGCTATGTCACATCTACGAAGCACTAATAAACCCAACCCCAGACCCGGAAAAACCCAAACCTCAAACCCTAAACCCAAAACCCAAACCCTAAACATAAATCCAAAAACCCAAACCTCTAAACCCTATAGACCCTAAACCCCTAACCCTGAACCCTAAATCCATTAAAGCCCTAACACTTCGTCCCTAAACCCTTAAAGCCCCGGTATGAGCCGCGTTGCAAAAGCAGGCCCAGGATCGCTTTTGGATAGCGGGCCATGCATCCGGCTCAAGGAACAGAGGGCTCTTCTTCGTAGGAATTGTTTTAAATAGGCTTTCATAGTTTCATAGTGTTCTTATAAGGTTTTATCCGTTTTAGGCTCAAGGAACAGAGGGCTCGTCTTTCTAGGCTTTGGTTTTAGATGGGGTTTTCATAGTTTCATAGTGTTCTTCTTAGAAAGGGTTTATAGGTTTCAGGTTTAGGGTTCTTAAAATTGTAGGTTCTTCTCGGGTTTAGGGTTTAAGGCTTGGGGTTGAGGGCAATTTCTGCAGTTCTATAGGGGGTTGCGGTACACGCTATACCGCCTGGCCGTGGCTGTAAGGTTTGGGCTTGAACCCCAAACCTGAAACTCTAAACCCCAAGTCCTAAGTTAACTATATACCGTACACCCTGAACCCTAAACCCAAAACCCTAAATTGCATAGTCTCGATGCTTGGAGAAAGCGTGCATCCAGCCATCGGCCCTCTGTGCTTTAGGGAAAAGTCGGGGCGAGGGCCCATGACCACGAGCCTAAATGCCTTCGGGTTTTAGGGTTTAGGGTTTAGGAGGGGTTCTAGAAGGCTCTGGAATGGTTCTAGAAAGGTACTAACATCTAGAAGGTTCTGGAATGGTTCTATAGAAGGGTGCTATAAGGCTTCCATTACTGTTCTAGCAGAGGGAAACCGCCCACACCACCCTGAACTGAACACGCGCAGGCTTGTGGTCCTGTATACGGCGAATATCCCGCGCAGATGTGTCTGTGCGAACCGGTACCGACTGGGGAAACAACATGGGGATCAAAATTCCGCCCCCACGGCTTAATGGGCCAGTTTGGCTGCTGCTTGAACGAAGGTGCGATATCTAACGCACCGATAGTGACAGTGGAAAGCACAGCGAAGACCCAAAACTAGGTGTCTGCTGGCTTTCTTCAAGGTAACAAACAGGTCTAACGCGTCCCGACTTAAAGCCACAAATCTGCCCCAACATTCTCCAATCTCGCAAGACTTGCGATCCCACTTCCCTTTCATCTCGAAACCCTCAGCCCTAAACATCCCTAAACCCTAGCCCTAAGGCCTAAGGGCTGACCGTGAAGCCAGAATCTTTCAGGGCAATTCGCCTGAAAGCTCACCCAAAACGTCCCCTTCGAACCTTCGTGGGGGATACGTACCCAAACCAGCAGAGCACTTCTTTATAGAATGTCCTATACCGTTCATTATGTAATCACTTATAGTGGAAGCCAGAAAGTTGGAACCTCATTATCCTCATGCCCTTACGGTAAAGTATAAGGGATCCTAGCACTAATCCTCCCAAAGCCATGTTCCAACTTTCTGGCTTCTACTATAGGACCATTTAAGCTATCGAAATCTCTGAATAAGAACCCCTAGGTATAGAACCTTAATATATACCCATTATATGGTCCATTATATGGTAGGGGTCCCCATTAAGGGTCCCTCCTTTTGCCCTGGGATATCGAAACATAAGCAAACATAAGATAGGGATATCCCATATATAAACCCCCTTAAAAGGAAGCCCAATAAGGTAGGGATATCCCGGTAGAATGCTTATGCTTATGTGCTTTTCTATACTGAACTTAGAACCCTAGCAAAAATTCTAATTTTAGCTGTTTCATAGGGATTATAATAACAAAAATTAAAAATTATATCTAAGTACCCCTTAGTTTTGGGTCCCTGACTTTAGGCTATCGAAACCTCGAGACTTGGCCAGGCAGCTCATTTTGGGCTTGGGAGCCGCGGGCTTCGGAAGTGGAAGGTCGATGTCGGCGTCCTGAAGGGCCCTGGCCCTACTTGGAGGTTCATGAGTAGTTATAAGTGGGGTTATAAGTAGCGTAACTATACTTATAACCCATATTAGGGGACTTATAACCCGACTTGTAACCACCCATGAACCTCCAAGTGACCCAAAACCCAAAGCCCTAAAGCCCCCAAAATGCCAGAAACCCTAAACCTCAAACCCTAAGCCCGATATCCCAATCCCGAAGCGCTAAGCGGTTTAGGGGTTGCGGGGGTCTTGGGTTTGGGGGGTTTAGGGGCTTAGGGTACACTATTCTCGCGGTGGTGCAGCTACAAGCAACTGCATCTGTAGTCACTTCGTGCTTGCTCATGTCATGCAACGGGGGACTTTCAGGAAATGGGGAACAGGTCGTCATCTCCATTCGTTTAACACTTAATCATAATGAAACAGAGGCTAATATGGGCAAACTGATACAGATGATTCAGACTACATGTCATGATACAGATACATACAGTACGTGCCTTACGGCCTTACAGAACATTCCAACCAAAACCGGCAGCCATGCCTGCATCCCCTACATCCTGAAACCCGACAGCTGTGATACTCTCGGCTGAGCGCTGCCCGTTAACGAGGTTGCTTGCCGGGTAATCTGTCGAGGATCACATTGTAGCTCAGCAAGGTTCGGAGAGAGGCCTGCACCGACTTCATTCGGGCCATGTCGGGAGCTTTCAGCATGTTCAGGGCACCAAGGCCTGATTGCATCTTCTTGAAGCACTTGGAGGGTCGGGGGACTTAGTAACTGGTTATTTTAGGGACTTATAAGTACCATAACCCCAATTAGGGTCCCTTTTGGGGGTACTTACAAGTCAACTTATTACCTACTTACTAAGTCCCTCGACCCTCCAAGCAAGCGCCAACCGACTTGATCTCGGCAACGTACAAAAACTTAGCCATGATCCAGCCAGGCTGCTGGGATGTGGCTCACGGCCTGGGAGGTCATCTTCCCAAGGGTAAAAGGAGGGACCCTTAATAAGGACCCCTAGGTATATACCCTTCATATAGCTATTATATACCCATTATATAGCCCATTAATTATAGGGTCCCAGGGGTCCCCATTAAGGGTCCCTCCTTTTCCCTTTTCCAAGAAGCCGCGGATCTCTCCGAATAGTGTCTCCCCGATGGCGGCCCTCACCAACTTGCACGTGTCGGCGAACTTCCCCGAATTCTACACTGCAGCTTTTGGCATGAACTTCTGCAAGTATCGTCTCGCTGGGACCGGATTTTAACTAGAGACTGGCTAGACCCCAAATCCTAAAACCTTTAAGCCCTGAACCCCGGACATCTAAACTGAAACTTTGATTCGTCTTGCTAACTTCTACTTCGACAAGGTCGAGAAGGTCATTGTGTTTGGAGTCTCGTGACCAGCAACTGACGCGTGAGGGGTTCAGGGTTTCGGGTTTAGGGCACCTAGGACTCCGTAAACCTTGAAACATTCAACGCTGAACGTCTACATTCGCACAAGTACATGTGACGGCATACAGTGTAGAAACGAGGGCTCCGGGATGAGTTCGTGGCGAGGGGCTTGAACACATGTTCCCTACAGCCTTAATATCAGTGTTTAGATCATCGCAGTGTTGTTGCGTGGGGTATGTAAGACTATCCAGGCCTTAAGCACACAAACAGTACTGCTTGCCCGAAGGAACCCAGTGTAAGTAAGAAACGTACATACGTGGGATGTTTGGAGCCGCAGTGTGGCACCCTGAAGCAAACACAGAATTATACGAGCATTCACAGTTGTGACATTACGACGAATAACGAACGTAGAGAAGCAGTAAGTAAGTGTACTAACAGTGGTCATGGCATGTCTTTGGCTGGTTAGCGGCGACATTGCAGCGTCCTCGGCGTGCTCTGCTAGCCAGTTTACCTCCGCAAGCTTGGGAACGCATCTTGAACGGACTGCAAGCAAGGCACTAAACAACAAAAGTCTTCCGGGTCGGAGTTAAGGAAAGATGATCATAGTGCTTCGGCTTTTGGCTTTCGGGGGCTGCACGAGTACGGCTTCCAGTCTAGAGCTTCGCGAAGCAGCGCTGCAAGATCGCCGTCACATATGGATGGGGCAATGAACACAGATACCACCAATAGTGGGGGCAATTTCCCATAAACCCCTACCTGTATCCCCAAACCCTGCAAAAACAGTAGGTTGATGACCACTTAATTAGAGGGTCTAACCCTTAAAACAGTAGGTTTTTGGATCCCCAGGTACTACTTCTTGGGAATTTCCCATAAAACCCCTAAACCCAAACCGCTAAACCCCAAACCCCTAAACCCCTACTACTTCTTGGGCCCCTAGAAGAGCGAAGCTTTGCACTCACAGGTTAGAGACCCTAAACTCAAGCCCCTGGAGCTGAAGCCCTACCCAGAGACTCCAAAACCCCTTAATTAAGGAAGATACCTTAAATTATAATAGGAGCCCTAATATGGTTTAAGGGGTGTTCCTCAATCAACGGGTTTTGGAAGCTCTGGGTAACACTTGAACCCATTACCCGAATCCCTAAACCCTAAACCCCAAAACTTTGTGACGCCCACTGACTTCCAAGAAAGGAATATACCTTAAGTCATATGAGGGATCCTGCGATAATTTCAGGAAAAAACTGCATTCAAGGATATGAAAGAACCGGGGAAGTAGGGCTTTACGATTCGCAGTGTGTAAGTAAGTTTTTGGGCTCGAGTTCATGGCTTATTGAGGGTGAGCCATAAACTCCAACCCTCAACTCTCAGAGTCATGGGGGTTTTGTTAAAGGATGAGTGGGGTCCCTTAAAGGGGATCTACAAGGGCTCCATAAGGGCTCCTTTAAGGGATCTCTTTGTGCCATGGCACTGTGCTGCTTTTCCAGAGCTAGTTGCGGAGGGAGACCCTACCGAAGATGTAGGAACCACCCATCTGTTCTTCAAGCGAGTCACACTACGCAGAGACCACAAAGCCCCACGATTAAGGACTATGCCTTAAATCTTAAGGCATATTTCTGAATCTGGTGGTTTTGGAGTCTCTGGGTAGAAGGCGAATCGCCAAAGCCGCTGTGAGTTAACTCCACCCGAGTTGCTGCGTGCTCAAGGCTGGCATTGTCGGTCTTGAACAGGGCCTGCCACACCCTACGGGTCCATATTCTTGATGATATAAATCCTGCATGACCTTAAGGACCCTTAACTATGGGAATTATGGCATATTCCTTGTCTTGGGTAATGCAGGATTTAAATCACCAACCGTATACCCCATAAAAATACACTTTAGCCCCGAAGTACAAATACAGAGGCGATCCTAAACCCTACACCGGACTTCGAGGCCAAAGTATATGCGAGTACTATAACGGCACATGAACCCTAAAGGGGACATGACCGAGCATCAGGGGCTGGTGAACTCTGAACCCTTAAGCTCCGGAACCCTCAACCCTGGCTCCGACACCCCCTTACTTATTAGGGTTTAGGGTTTAGGGTTTAGGGTTTAGGCTTTGGTCAGTAGGGAATGGAAGAATGCTTGGAGGGTCGGGGGACGTAGTGACTGGTTATTTTAAGGACTTGTAAGTCTACTTACTACCTACTTACCTTTGGATTTTATAGGGAATGGAAGAATGGTGGTAGTCATTAGTAGCTATAATTGTACCCCATTCCTCCATTCCCTACTAACCAAAGGTAAGTTTAAAGCATCCACCGTAGAACTCCTGTAGCCCTTCCAAAGATTCGACAGCTTCTAGCCACTTGACAGTTCCTGATGAGATGTAGAATTCAGTGTTGCTTATGGAGACCACTAGACTAACGGATTGTACCTCGACCTCGTTCACGTCATGAAACCCGAACATCAATGCCCTAATCCAAATCAACAAACCTACATCCCGAGCCCCACGATCGGGAGACCGGAACTCATGTTCGCCAAGCTCAAAGAACAGCTCCAAGAGGAGAGGAAAGTTGCTACCAGAGCTAATGCCGCAGAGGTCTCTATGCCGTCTTGTCACTTGGAGCCCGCTTGCAATGACAATGCTTCTCCCTACCCGTTACCTTCAACACCCTAAACCAAACCCCCAACTTAGTTGCTGAGTTCATAAGCCCCCCCCAAAGTGTACACTTTCAGCTTTATAGTGTGTAGGATTAGCCCAAAAAGTGTGAAGTGTATCCACTCAGCTACTAAGCCAATCCTCAACCCTAAACCCTATCCCTAAACCCTCAACCCAAAACCCTAAAACCCTAACCTCATGGGCAATCGGCATTGCCTTCTCGGATCGAACCTCGGTGAATCCCATCTCCATGACCTTTCATGCGGTTGTAAAAATTATGGTCCCTTTTTGGGTACCCTAAATGTTAGGTGCAGAATTATATGAAGGACCTAAAAAGGGACCCTAGTATTGACAACCACCCATGCATCGACAGGGGCTTTCGGCTTCCGGGATCGGATCCCAAGGTTCGGGGATTTACGATTGAGGCTTTCGGGGCTTCGAAGTTTTGGGTTTAGTGGTTAGCTTCGAGTGTTAAATTGTGAGGGTTTAGGGTTTGGGGTTGAGGGCTTCGAGGCCTTAGTATGTTAATGCTCAGAACGGGTGTTTCAGGGGCGAAGTTATCCAGAAAGATGCGCTACTTGGGCAGTTACAAGTGGGGTTACAAGTAGGGTAACAAGTAGGGTAACTATACTTGTAACACATTTTAGGGACTTTTCACTCCACCTATTACTACCCATGAACCTCCGAGTGCCCGAGCAGTGGTGAAAATTGTGCCGCTGTCGAGGAAGACACACTTATACTAGTACTGGTGCGGTTGCTAGTGCTGAAGAAGAAAACGATGACTTTGATTGACATTCGGGAACGACCGATGAGGTTCCTTAAGAGGCATCGCAGACCTTCCGTCATGTATTTTCCACTGATAAACAAGTTGCCCTAAATCCCGAGCCCTGCACCCCAAACCCTGAACACTGGTTCGACCCTAGATATGCCTCACTTGCCTCACCTGCATCATCGCCATCGGCATCGATGCCCTGGAACAGGCCAATGCCCACGTCTCCGTTGTCTTGGCGATTCTCGAAGCACCGGCCTTGGTCCCATCCACTTTGTCTTCCATCTGGGTCTTGGTTGCTTTGCACACGGTCTCATGTTCGGCCTGCCCCCATGAGTACGTCATTGCCCTGCTTGTCCCCACACTTCCAGAAACTCAACGTCTGGAAGGCCTTGGGCGAAATCCCCCTCCGGCAACACTGGCAAGGTTCTGCTTTGGTGCTCCCGTGCGGACAGGCATGCACATGAACAGATTCAGGTTTCCCGATCCTCTGCGAAGCCCAACTGAGCAATAGCCACACGCCCAAACGACGTGTCAAAGTCCTAGGACTGAAGGCGGGTTACAATGCTTATATAAGACCTAAGAGCTACGAGCACGCCCTCCCCCCCCTCTAGACGGTTCACCCCGAGTTCACCCCGAAGTTCCTCCGGCCTGCTTCAGCAAGTCTTGGTTGATCATCTCCTGGGGACGGCATATGCACTGAGGGCTCAATTACTAAAGGGGCTTTAGTAACTAGAATAAGGTCTGGGGGGGTTATATTGTACTATAGTTATAAGTTATAAGCTATAAGAAGGAACCCCAAAAATCTGTTCTAGTTTTTAAGGGCCCTACATTACATTGTCCCCCGAATCGGCAAGCCGAGGCGTTGCTGTTACTTGCTGCATGCCCATTCAAGGACTGCGTCTTCAGAATGTAGGCTGCTCGCGAAATGGCCCCAAGATGAGCTACAACCTGCAATCAGTAAACCTAAAGCCTAAACACCTTAATCCTACATTTTAAGCCTAGATCCCAAACCCCTGAACCCGTAAACCCCTAAACCCCAAACCCTGCAGCCGGAAACCCTGGAACCCTGAACCCCCAACGCACCAACCCCTCAAATCCAACACCCTCAAGCCCGTCTAACATCTTCATGAAACCCTGCGGCGCCCTCTAAACTAACCCTACTACGGTTGATGCCCTAAATCCTGCATCGGTTTAAACTTCCCCACGGCTCCCCTGCTACCCCCAATTTTAATATTGCACTGACACAGAGTCTAGAAAAAGCGTTTGCGCGAATGCCCAAAATCCTGCATGACCCCAGGGTGATGCAACATTGAATTCAGGGGCTGCGGGGAAGTGGACAGCGCGACATCACATATGTGTGATGCTGTAGGTCATGCAGGATTTTGGGCATCAACAGTAGGAGGGTCGGGGGACTTAGTAACTGGTTATTTTAGGGACCTATAAGTGCCAGGTACCCTTTTAGGGTACTTATAAGTCTACTTACTACCTACTTACTAAGCCCCCCCACCCTCCAAGTAAACGCTGCACCCGTCGAACTTCGAAAACGTGACTAAAAAAACACTGCAAAAACCTATGATGCAGTAACCATAAAAAATCGTACAACCAGATACTACACCATAACACCATATATACTCCCCCGATGCGACCCTTCAAAACCCCTACTGACCCTTGTAAAGGCCGAAACCTTGAAACTCCAACCCTTCACAGAACCCTTAAAGGCCTGCTTCGACCGAAATCCTGAACCCTAAACCACTAAACCCTAAGCCCCATAAACCATAAACTCCTAAAGCCCTAAACCTTAAACCCCCAAAAGCGCTAAACCCCAACCACCGGCCTTGATCTCGGGTGGGTTCGGGTCCCCAATCTTCCGGTCGTCTACCGGCGTCATCCTCCGGGTTCCAGGGGTTACTTATATTACCTTTGGTTAGTATGGAAAGGGGTCTATAAGGGTTATTATAAGGGATCTATAAGGGTACTACAATATAGGGGCCTTAATAATCCTATAACTTACCTTTGGTTAGTATGGAATGGAGGAATCACAAGTAAAGCCGCAAAGCTCGACAGGGTTCGGCGAGATGCGGGAGTCGAAACAAAAAAGGCTCGAATAAGATTTCCAACCGGGCAAGGCCTCGAATGGAGGAATGGGATACAATTATAACGACTATTACTACCATTCTTCCATTCCCTCCTAACCAAAGGATTTCCGGTTTGGGGTTCAACCTTCCAAGGCAGGGTTTCGGATTTAGGGCCATTTAGGGCTCAGGATCTGGGGCTGACTTGTACTGTCCAGCACGGCCAATATAGCAGTCTGAGTCATCAACAGAACAGTAATGCTCCTCCCCTCGCCTTGCTTTGTCATTCTATGATAAATTCCTTAAGGAACATTCCTCAGATGATAATGTTCTCCGCTATGTCATGGAAAATAGGTTCCTTAGTTCCGGGCACTCGGGGCAACCAGATGCTATCCAGGGTTGGTATAGACAGAAGGATGCATTCTGAACCCCTCGGGTCACTGGAAAAGCACACAGAATTCTGTCCAAGGGTCTCCACGTCAGCGCTAGCATCTGCCATGGCCTTGCAATGGTTTAATTTTTCTGGAATACCGCAAAATGACGCAGTTCGTATCCGAAACGGTAAAACCCGTAGCCCCCAAAACCCTAAACCCCTAAGCTCTGAAATCGCAAACCCATCCATGAAACCCTAATCCAGAAGCTCCCTGCGACCATGCCCCGCAATATATAATAAGGAGGCTTCAATAATCAGAACAAGGCTTTGGGGCCCATTAAACTAAACTTGTAATAAGGAACCCCCCACAATAATTATGGGTGATTCTTTAGGTCCCCTAAAGGGAACGCCAGAAAGTTGGAATATGGATTAATGGTAGGATCCCCTATAATTTACCTTAAAGGGGTTACGATAATCATATTCCAACTTTCTGGCTTCTACTGTAAACGAAAGTACCCTCTAACCCCAAGAGTCCCTTTAATGCGGAACCCTGTTAAAATTTTAGGTCCCCTATATACTAAAGTACCCTAATAGATCCCTTACAGTAACTAACCCCTATAGTCCCTTTAAAACGGAACCCTCTTCTTATAATTTATAAGCCCCTCTATTAAGAATGCAGGGAGGCAGCCTCGGTCCGGCTGCTTGAATGGATTTAGCGCCTCCCCCAAAGAAACTTTTATCCAGCCCTCCTCGGGGACATGATTTCCAGTTTAGGGTTTAGTTTTTTTTTTTAATGGGCCCTTTTCGAAATGCAGAACAGTTAGAATTCCTGTGGTTTCGGTTTAGGGCCTAGGGGAAATCCAAGCGGAACTGAATGCAAGAAGTGCTCTGGGGGTGTGGCGACGTCGCCGCCTGCACCTGCAAGAGGGCACGGGAGCTATTCAAAGGGCTTTAATAATTAGAATTGGGTTCTTGGGGCCCACTCTAGTATAATTATGAAAAGGAGCCCCTATAATAGTGTAGGTCATTAAGTATTCAGGTCCCTATATCATAGACCTGCTGAGTTCCATCAGCTGTGCAAATGAACTCCAACAAATTTATGGTGAACTCTTGTGCAGTCTACTTGGCGGCGAGGCAGCAATGAGGTGGCAGTTCGGTTCAAAGGAACCAGGTTCAATGCGCTGCTCTTGACTGTGACGATTCTCTGAACACGAGGAGAAGCTCAAAATATGACCCGACATACCATCACCTGAAATCATCCTCCCTATGCTGGTCGCATGTGCTCTCCTGCGACCTAAGCACATGTAGATATGATACAATCGAACAGATTGGGCTGCTAGAGCTGGCTTGGGAGGGGAAAGCATTGAGGTCCAAGGGTAGCTCTCGGTGTACTTTACATTACATTGGTCGGGCGCAACATAGGGGCACGAATAGTTGCCGACTGGTTAAGCGAGTTTGGGAGGGCTGTATACTATTATAAGCTTATTGAAGCCTCAGGCATAGTACTCCATTTAGAACACTACTTACTGACTACCAGAAAGGGAACTCCGCAACGAGACAAAGGGATGTGTATGGATGTGTAGAGTGTCGCGCTTTAGAGGCATGCAAGACATGTCTCGGCTGCATGGAAACCCTATAAACTAGATTGAACTAGACGGATGCATACATTCACAACATATTCCTGTGCGTCCACCAAACCCTTATCTCATGAGAAACCGCCCGACGGCGTTTGAGTGGAGGTTTTCCGGGCTATGGGACCGCTGTCACGGATCGGGACTATTGTTCAGCCATGTGCGTACGGTGCTTGGCCTAATGATGCCAAAGCTTCCTCCACAAACTCGTCGGTAACTTTGTCCTTGAGGTGACAGGCAACACGTGCAGAAACAAACGTGTGCTCGTAGCCATAGTGATCAACACAATCACCACCAACATCACCATGACCCTTGCCATCACCAACACAATTACGACCAGCACCAGCAGCACCAGAATCGCGAAAGTTAATTATCGTGACAATAACTGCTGCTCACAGAAATCGGTACCGGTTCGTGTTGCTGAGTGAATAGCACATATTAGGTCTCAACACTTGAGAACCGCTCCGTCAGGACACCTCAAACATCTAACGGCGTCTGGAGCAGGGCCAGACGAGGCAACTGTCTAGAACATCTGACCAGGTCTACGGGTGGAGGACGTTAATCAACACTAACTGCAGCCCGTCAACGAATCCCTCTAATCGCTAGACCCTAAACCCTCTACCCTGAGCCCCTTGAGCATAGGGTTTAGGGGTTTAGGGTTTAGGGGCACGGGATCGAGCTCCCATCAAACAGTCTTCGCTCCAGGACTGCTGTGCCATGCCCGCCGAAGTCTGAACTCACCACCCTGACATCCCAAAAAAATTAGGGCAAACCCTAAGTCTACTTAGGTCGTCGTCCTCGCCGTCATCACCACCATCCTGTTCATCCACACCATTTGGGTACGGCCCCATACAGTAACAGTCGATAATAGGGCTACTATTAAGGTCCTTATATCTCTATATTATGATTATTATCCAACTGTTACTGAGTGGGGGCCGTACCCAACACACCATCATCTTCAGTGGGAGTCGAAAACTTCACCAACAGGGCACCGTAGAACCCTACACTCTGAGCCCGAGGCTCTAGAGACCCTTGCAACAGCCCCTGTAGACTTACAGAACCTTGGCGAAGCCCTAAACCCTAAAGCCATAAACCCTAAACCCCTAAACCCTAAATCCTAAACACCCCTAAGCAACCCTAAACCAGACTTATAAGTACCCTAAAAGGGACCCTAATTGGGGTTGTGGTACTTACAAGTCCCCGAAATAACCAGTTACTAAGTCCCCCGACCCTCCAAGTACTCTAAAACCTAAACCCTAAACCCGTATAGAATCCCTATAGATCCCTATAAAGGAACCCTAAAGGAACCCCTTATAGTCACTAAGTCCTGTAAAGCCAAGGATCCAAGTCTGGCTTGTCAGCGTTCTCTGCGAGCCAGGCCTTGAGCGCTTCCCGCGGAAGCAGGGGCGTTTGAAGCTGAGCTCCGGTGTTTCTCGGGCACTACTGTTGATGATATAAATCCTGCATGACCTTAAGGACCCGAAACTATGGGAATTATGGTATATTCCTTATAATGGGTCATGCGGCATGCGGGAAATATATCATCAACCGTAGAACCAGGAGTTCTTTTGCTTACCATAAAGGCTACTAGAAGGGCTACTATGATAGGCGGATTTAGGATTTAGGTGTTTGCTCCGGTAATTAGCGTTCAATAAACCGATAAAGTCTGCTCCATCCCAAAAATCATGTTGGAATCCAATGGAATCCACACACGCTGTTAAACTTAGAGGACAGGCAACCCAAAGAATAAGAAAACTCAGAACGCAAACCTAAATTACGCAAGACCTATAAACTCTTGACTTAGCCGCAAAACCTGAGACCCCACTCGCCCTCCCATGCTCTTGCTGAACTCGAGCAAAATCCGTCACTCCTGAATCCACAATACAGTTCAGGGTTTGGGTCTTCAAGAGTTTCGAGTTTATCATGGGTTTTAGGGTGTAGGGGCTTTGGGGTTAACACGAATCCACAACCCCAAACACCAACTGATCACCTCGGCAGCTTCGATCGTGCCCTTGTCACGAGTGAAGTGCAGCGCCTGCACAGAAAAACAGTTCTCTGCTAGGTTTGACAGACTTTTCCGTCTGCGCAATCCAGGCATCTAGAAACCCACACTTGCAGGACGTGAAAACCTCTGACCTTGCTGCTTCCTCCTTTCTGTTCCGGCTCCGACGCATCCCCCGCAGAGGGTTTACTTTAACCCCAAATAACCTACCTTTTAATTTACGGACTTATATAAGGAAGTCATATGAAGGAACCCTAAAAATGTGTAGATTTTACGAGAGTTTCTGAACATTTCAGCTTCACAAGGGCTTAGATGCTTTAGATTTAGAGCGACGCTTCGGATTGCCTGTTTCAGGCTTTACGTCGAGGGTTTGCGGGCACGGGTCCGGGGATGTAGCCAACCCGGTTATGAACCCTACACCCCTAAGTGCCGGCGTTGCCCAATTATCTCGCGACAGTGTTCCTGTCCCTCTCTCCCATGGTCGTGCTATGATCTCTCTTCTTCTACATATTGAGCCCACTGCACAAGTAAAATCCATAATCTACCTATCCTCCATAATCCGAAGCCCCCGAACCCTCAGATTCCCTGGGGTTCGTCATAGCTCTTCGAGGTTCTGTACAACCTTCCAAACTTCTATGAGCTCTATAATACTGGGTTCCCTAAAACCTAAACCGTTATTCTGCTAACAAACCCTAAACCCTAAACCGTTATTCGGTTCATAAAATCTGGTTGTAGCATAGGCTCTGCTTCGAGCTTCGGCCCCAGAGGGATCTCAAAATCAGGTTCGCATGTTGGGACAAGTTACAAAGATCCTACTACAGCTGCCGTAATAATTAGAATAGGGTTTGGGGGTCCTTCATAATACATATAGTAATACGGAACCCCTAAGGAACGATATTGGTAACTCTTCAGTATAACTACATATAACAATAGGGAACCCTAAGGAATGATATTGGTAATTATTTAATTAGTATAACTCCTCCTACTCCTAAAGGTCAACATAACCTCCAATTCTGACTCCTCGACAACTCGACTCCAGGCTTCAGTTACGCTTGGTTCCTTTAAAGGCATCCTTAAAAGGTGTCTATAAGGGATCTATAGTAGAGTTCTACAATATAAGGGCCTGAATAATCAGAATAGGGTTTTGGGGGTTCCGTATCATGATTATAATGAAATTCACCATAGCCCCAATCCCTGAACCGCCCGAAGCCAAGTTGAGTCAACAAGGAAGGTGATATGATCCGATGCCTTCGCCGAGCGGTTGCGCCCCAAGTTCTTGGCCTCATGCCGGGCCGGAGGGCTGCTGATTGAGGCTCCGGCTTAGAGTTTAGGGTAAAGGGTTCAGGAGGGTTTAGGGTTTATTGAGGTTCAAACTGAAGTTGCCGCTTGCCGCACCTGAATCCCAGACCCAAAATTTAAGTTCCTGGTGCGCTTCAGCTTTTGCTGACGAAGTTCCCATCGAAACCCTGAAGCCCTGAACAGCAAACCCCTGAAGCAACGTTCATCGGCTTTCTCGAAAATCACCAAACTCCAAACTCAGTACCCAAAAACCCTAAACCTAAACCATAAAACCCCAAATCCAACCTTTTGAAGGTTCCCAAAAAAGTTTCCGAAAAAGGGTCCTGCCATAGAGGTAGGTTATTTGGGGAAAAGGTAAGCCCAAAACCTCAAACCCAACAGCAAAAGAAGAGTCTAGATGTGCCCCAGTGACAGACTGCATGAGTTCCAGCTTCCGCTGGTCCACGGACGCGAAGAATTTGTCCTGTTTTATGGTTTACGGTAAACCCCATAAAGTTGGAAACCGGATAAAGGCCAAATAGTGCTGGGATTCCCTATACAGTACTCATGGATCGAGGCTATGGGGTTTCCAACTTTTGGGCTTCTACTGTAGACAGTATATATAGGGTTGACGTTTACTGGGTACTGCGACTGCCCCCATACAGGTAAGAGTAAGAGTCTGTTGCAAGGCGACTGTTAAGGGCCTCGACTCGTATATCTATTCTACACAGATTACACAACTGTTAATCACGGAGAGAGCAGTACCCAAGTGGTCCATACGCCCGTTGTAAGTGCTTCAAACAAGCTGTGATAAGGATCTTAGGGTTCAGGCTTCGGGGCTTCGGGAGAGGAGGCCTGGCTTTCAGATGATGCTCATACATTCTGAAATTCCTGAGCGCCTCAAGACCCGATCCCGGAACCCACAAACCCTAACCTTAAGCCCCAAAGCACCAAAAGCCCTCTTGAACTCAAAGGAAAGTATCGGTAGACCTTGAAAAACCTGATCCCGCAGCCCTCGCTGAACCATGAAGGAAACCTTACAGAATCGTTGCTAGACCCTAACTCGAACCATATAGACCCCTCACAGAGCCCTCACAGACACCTTAAAGGACGTGGTATCCCTTGCCACAGTCCTACTAACTCCACAGGCCCTGTAAGCCATATACAGTAGAAGCCAGAAAGTTGGAACATCATTGTCCTCATGCCCTTAAGGTAGAGTATAAGGGATCCTAGCACCAACTTTCTGGCTTCTACTATACTGCACAAAGCAACCCCAAAAACATCTCCTTTCGCGCCAACGAAGCATCCTTCTTTTTCTGGAGTTCCATGAGATATGCCACGTCTTTCTCCTCTGTGCTGAAAGTTCAGGGTTTAGGATTCCGCATTTAAGGTTTAGGGCAGCTTTCCTGGGAAACTGGTGCTACAAATTTTCGGCTGGAAGCGGTAATTCCCAAAACTTCGTCATGACATGGCGGCAATAGATATCGCAGAATCATGATGATTGATTGATCCCTCTTTGGTAATGGAAAACCAATCCCAACAGAAGTAATACTATTGCTGGAGATCCTCATATTAAGGCCTCTGTAGAAAACGGCGTATCAATCGAGGGTGTACACTTAAAGGATCATGGGACTTAGTAAGTAGGTTATAATTGGGGTTATAAGTCCCGTAAGTGGGGTTATCCTAAATATAACCTACTTATAACCTTACTTACTAGGTCCCATGGTCCTCTAAGCAATAATTGTCCGGCTGAGCTGAAGCCCCAAACTTCAAACAAGCCCTAATTAAACCCTCAGCTCTATTAAACCCGAAACCCAATTACACCCCAGGCCCGCCGAAACCCTAATGAAGGGGCCTCAATAATTAGAATAGGGCTTTGGGGATCTTAAGGAAGGGACCCCCAAACCCTATTCTGATTTGTTATTCAATAATTAGAATAGGGTTTTGGAGGATACGAAAGTTCAATTATGATAAGGAACCCCAAAAGCCCCATTCTAATTACTAAGGCCCCCATATTAAGCTCCAAAACCCAGGCCCGCCTCCCAAGTCTTGGAGTCAGGATCCCGGACCTATGCGTGGCGGTTTAGGGTTTTTTGGCTTGAGAGGTTTAGGGAGTTTCGGGTTTTGTTTCGGAGGGGGCTTCGCTCTGCAACTTCCGGCTACACAATCCCTAGTGCTCCAGTTACCTCACGAGTAGGTTACTAGGGCACATAATATATGGGTAGTATCCTATTCCGGTAACTGGAGCCCTAGGGAATGTCGGGGTTTAGGCTTTGGGACTTTAGGCTTAGGCGCAAGGCCTAAATCCTACGAAGTACTTGGAGGGTCGGGCGACTTAGTAACTGGTTACTTTAGTAATTTAGGGACTTGTAAGTGCCATAACCCCAATCAGGGTCCCTATTAGGGCACTTATAAGTCTACTTACTACCTACTTACTAAGCCCCTGAACCCTAAACCTTATACTACCCTTATAGGGCCCTTTAAAGGAACCCTTAGGACTAAGTCCCCCGACCCTCCAAGTAGAAGTCGTCAGTTTCGCAGATCTTTAGCCCTGCGCCTTAGGGACTTGAAGGCTGCAGGACTCCAGACCCAAAGGCTCCATGTACTCTTATAAGGGTTTAGGGTCGCGGAACAGCTCACAGCCAGGTCGTATCCTCAGCATCATCGTTATTGCATTTGACTGCTTGCCACCTCGGTATTGTTGCTGAGTGGCGTGGGAGGTGTGATGGTGCTGTGAACGCGAGTGGCCCAAACCCCTGCACAAGAATGACACGCACAAAACGTATCACCAGAAGACAGAAGTGTACAGAAAGACAGATCTGTAGATGTATAGTTTCATGATCACGTCGTCTTTTGTCGTGCGGTGGTTGAAATAGTGCTCTCCCCCAAACGGGGGTTATGAGCCCAACGCTTAGATAACCACTGACTTGACGCCATGTGGGGGAGATCAGTGCAGGAGATGTTTGAGCAGCTACATGAAGATACCGAGCGAGTGCAGTTACCAAATGATGATGCAGCTTTGTCTGGAGATCACGAACCAGATTACGACACTGCTATTGCCCAAACCCCTCATGCTTCTTCTGGGAATGATGGCGAAGGTCCGGGGGATGCATCCCCTGGAAAACAGAGCGAGCTGTCTAGGATGGAGCGTGAGTTGGGAATGGCACAGTCAACAACCCGAGAACTAGACGAACAAGAGCTTATTCCGGATTACGGGCGTGGAGACTTGGGAGGACAGGTGCAGACCGGTGAAGGGGGTATTCAGAAACTGGATGCCCAAGCAAGTGGTGCTCAGAGCACACAGGTGCCCGCTCCAGATCTCATGAGCCAGCTTGGAGTCCTTTTACAATCAACGCTGCAGTCGAATCTGTTGCCTATGTTAGACGAGGTGCGGATGACTCAAGCTACGGTTCTATCTCGGTTGGATAAGCTGGAAAGTGAGCAAAGGTTGAGCGCGGCAGGATCGGAGGACCCAAGGGAGCGACGGGCAAAGAGCCCCGGTTCCAGTCAGAGGAGTGTGGGACCAATGAGGCGACCCGGATCTTCTCACCGTGAGGTTGAAGCTGTTGGTGATCATTTGGCTGGGATGAAGCTGGAGTCTGGGATGGCGGAAACGGCGGTGATGAAGCATGAGCATAGCGAGACGGGGTTGTTGGGGGTTCAAAGTCGTTTCTCTGACCGTGGCACGGGGCAGGTTCGTGACAGACCACCACTTGAGGCACCAGAAGGGATAGTCATGATTGAAGGAATTCCGCACGCCTGGCGTTGGAAAGCCGGAGTGATGGTAGTAGATCGGCTAGAGGTGAGACCTGAGTGTGAGAGGAGCGAAAGACCAGAGCGTGTGAGAGAAGAAGAGGGAGAGACGAGAGTCGGCAGTGAGCGTTTTCGTGACGAAATACACCAAAGCCCCCAAGCCTCGCTAACACAAGTCCTGCATCCTAGAGCGCAGTCTCCGTTTGCACCCGGAAAACAGGAAGGAAGCTTCGACAGACGATCCCGCAGCGCAAGTCCCAGTAGGAAAGTATCTCAGCGAAGTCCGAGTAGGATCAACAAATCGCCAAAGCATGTGATGGAATCCGCTAGCACTCCGAAGGCTGCCAAAAGCAGTCCGATGCAGTTTGGAAGCCCACCTACCAAGCCCAGAATCATTAAGTACCCATTCTCACCTGGAGGAACCGAGATCAAGCCACCTCCATTGCCGGTGACTTTTAATCACACGCAAGAGCAGATGAATCCGCCTATCGCGCCTAGCGTAGCGAGCAGTAGCCATCCAAGTCGTGACAAGTACACGCCGGGAGACCGTGTGTGGTGGCAAGTGCCTGCGTTAGCTGAGCCAAAGAAGGACGCGGCGACATTAGCCGCCGACTGGATCGCACAGGTTTGTGTTATCATGAGTGACATTTCACCTGGATCGGGGGAGTGGTTTCAGATGGTACTTCAAGAGGCTAGGGATGCTTATGAGAAGTGGGCTAAAGCACCAGCGATTGAGAGAGCGCAAATCAGAGCTGCACCCAGTGTCTATCTTCAGGATGCAAAGTTCGCACGCCTTGAGGCCAGAGTTTTCAGCATGTTGCATGCCAGTTTGCCCCAAAGCGTGAAAGATGAGCTGTTAGCGGCTAGAACACTTAATACCGTTTCAGCGTTGTTCCTGGTATTGAAAACCTATCAGCCGGGAGGGCTGCGGGAGCGAGCGCAACTGTTGGATGCACTTACCAAGCCCGGAGTAGGATCAAGCGCAAAAGATTCCGTGGACAAACTCAGAACGTGGCATCGCCACTTGGTGAGAGCTACTTCCATGGGAGTCGCGGCTCCTGATCCGAGCATCTTGTTGCGCGGGTTGGATGATTTGGTTGGCCCCACCATGGCAAAGCATCCGCAAGTCAACTTTCGGTGTAGCATGGTAAGAAACCGCCTTGCATTGGATCATGCCCCTACGCATCAAGGAGTGTTGGAGTTCGCTCAGGCGTTGCAGTCAGAATTCTCCATGTTGGCTATCGCAGGTGATGAGGAGAGTAGTGAAAAACCACCCAGAAACCCCAAACTCGCGCGCGTGGAAGAAGACATCAATTCTAGTGCAGAGAAGGGTGGGGGTTCGAAAGGTCCAAAAGGCAAGAAAGGTGGAGAGAAGGGAGCGAAGGGATCGAAAGGGAAACCTAAGTGTTATCACTGGCTAACAGCCGGAGGTTGCCAAAGAGGGGAATCATGTAACTTTACACATGACATGGATGAACTCTGGAAAGCCGCTGATTGCAGAAGTAGATGTTTCGTATGTAGTGCAAAGGGACACATGGCGCAGGCTTGTCCAACCAAGGAATCCGGAACGGGGTCAAAAGGTGGGGAAAAGGGCCACAAAGGCGAATCGGGTAAGGGAGCATCCAATCAGGATAGGCCAGTAGCAAAAAGAGTGGAAGAGGATACAGACAAACCGAAACCCGAAGGACCGGGATCCACTCAAGCTGATCTTCTTAAAGGGGCTGAGGCGTTGCTAAAAGCTCTACAGACCAAAGCTTTAAAGATGAAACCCAGTCTTAACCGACTCACGGCTCACAGCTCTAGGACCGGACTTCTGGATTCAGGAGCTTCTACTTGCTTAAGGCGGTTGGTCCGTGACGAGGATGAGACACTGCTGGTCTCCCGAACGGTGGAGCTCGCAACAGGCACAGCTGAGATGTTGGTAAACCCATTCGGTACGCTGCTTGCTAGAGAGGACGTGGAGTGTATCGTAGCGTTGAAGCCATTGATTAGCATGGGGTGCAAGTGGGAATGGTCGGAAGACAAGTGCGTCTTGCATCACCCTCATAGGGGAGATATCAAACTGGATACCTCATCGGGTTGCCCTCGAATGCCGGAAAGCTTAGCGCTGAAGCTGATTCAGGATGCTGAGGAAGCGGTGAAGCAGAAAGTGGTTTTTGCTTTGAGGGCAGTACAAATCCTGCAGGAGTCCTCGCATTTGGAGGTTGATGAGGTGTTGGGGAAGTTGGTGGTTGCGATTCACACAGGAGTGGAGGTAGCAGCACACCTAGGGGCAACAGCTAGGGCCATGTGGCCCAACCTCGATGAGGACTTGGTTCAGGATCTCCAGAGATGGCCGCGACAGGACTCGAATGCGGTAATGTGGAATAGGAGAAAGCGGAGAGCAGTAGTGAAGACCGGGGGAGTGTTGATCCAGATCGGAAAGTGTAAGGAGGAGCGTGCAATAAAGCAATACGGCGCAGCTTTAGGATGGGAAATCTTGCAGGTCACGGAACAACTCACTGATCCGCATGATTTTCGGTACCTCCTTGAAGTGGTTACCTCTGGGAAGGTTCGGGGGATAATCGCGGGAGATTGTGGCGAAGCTGAAACTTTGACAGCTTTGTATACCACACTGCTGATGCAGATCAACCATGTGGTTGAGGGTGAGTGTCCCGAGGTGAAGCCTTTCTCCATCCTTGTGGGGCCTATGGCACATGGTTTGCAGAAGTGTTGCGATCAAGCTGGGTTTCGGCAAGCTAGCTCGGTGGAGTCTTGGAGGCGCGGAGTAGAACTCCTCGCTAGACGGGCAGCGTGTATTAGTAAGATGAAGCCGTTCGATATGACGGAGCATGTTAGAGCCGGCCACTGGCCACCGCATAGACGCTGCCGAACATGTATTTTAGCCACCGCCTGCCAACGACAGCATAGGAGACAAGGGGCGCCGGCAAGCTATGTTTTGGGTTTAGACTTGATAGGCCCCTTTCTGCCCGCTCCAGATGATATCAGCCAGAAGCGGAGATACGGACTGGTTGCAGTGTTAACGGTTCCAGTGGACAAGCAAGGCAAGCCCGTGTTAGGAGACAAACAGGAGCAGGATCAGGCGAAGGAGGGTGATAAAGATTACGGGCCTGAGCTTTTACCACCTGGCGGGATTTGGGATGATGTGGAGTGGGTTGAGGAGATGCTGGTTGACAAGGAGGGAGCACAAGCGGAGCAGGCGTGTGAACAGGATCAACCAGAAGGGGAACATGCGAGAGAGATGAGTGATCAGGGATTTGAGGGAGAGATAGAGTTGGAGGTTGACGCGTCAGGTGAAGAAGACCCTAGACAACAACCCAAACACTTGGATCCTGATCCGGAGCTTAGGTGGAAGGAAATCGTGTTCGTGGAACTTCTTGACAGAAAAACTCCTAAATCAACTTTGCTAGGTATCGGTCGTATCCATGCACAGTTGATCGAACTGGGCTTTCCGATCACTCGCATTCACACAGATAGTGGCACCGAGTTTGTCAGTGAGGAACTGCGAGAATACACAGCCGCAAGAAACATCACTCTCACTCACAGCGCGCCGGAAGAACATGATTCAAACGGTCGGGCCGAAAACGTAGTGAGAAGGTTAAAAGGCCAAGTTAGGGCCAGCATTGTAGAGTTGGGGGGAGATAAGCTGCGCTGGACTGTAGCGCTTAAAGCTGCAGCGGCGACGTGGCGAGCCAACGTGTTGCAAAGCATGGGCTATCAGATAAAGCCCGTGATTCCATGTGGGACGAAAGTCCAGGTGCTTGTACGGTCATGGCTTCGCAGAAACAAACGAGATTGGAGATTGAATGCTGCTGACGCTGTAGTGCTTTGTCCTGCCACTCATGTGCGCAAGGGGTATGTAGTAGCTGTAGGTAAGAAGCTTTGTATCGTCACGAAACTGAACTTTGGTGAAGAGTCGAAACTCACAGTATCGTTGGAGAGTGCCGTCCGACCTGTCGCTGAGCTTGCAGGCCCCCACGTAGGTTCGGATCACATTAGACGGAGGCTTCGCACCAAGACCCCTAAACCTCCCACGATGCGACACAGGTTCAAACATGTAGTAAAAACCCTAGCTTTCGGCAGGGATCGCTGGCTTGAAGATCAGCAAGCTTTGAGGCTTGCTACCCAGGCCAATTTTGACCTGAACTCGGCAGTGCGGTTCCTTGAAGCTTCGTCGTATGGGCGTTCAGGGACGGGACCGGCTGCTTCGCGTGGTAGGGAAGGGTCTCATTACATCGTTGGAGCGTTTCGGATGGGTGGGGTATTGGGTTTAACACGCCTCACCAAACAGAGAGAGGGTTTTGCCAAGCTGCTGTCTAGGATCATGCGGGAGGTATGCCCGCAAGCCTCGTTCTCCACACTGTGTTTGTCGGTTGATGCGCCAGCGATTCCGCATAAGGACAGCTGCAATGAAGTTCAGTCCCAATCGCATGTCGTCTCGCTCGTCATGCCGAGTCGTGGAGGTAGACTTTGGGTCGCGCTGGGGCCAGGTGATGAGGTATCTGGCAAACTTCAGATATTGGAACATAAGGGCAAACAAATCGCAGGACAGCTGTTGGACGTTAACCCCTCAGTCAGTTTTTCGCCGCATCGGTTGCACGCTACGGAGTCTTGGTCGAAGTCACAACGTCGCATTGTTATCTTGGGGTACACTGTAGGGTGTTTTTCACACATGAACAAACCTGACAAGCATGTGCTCCATGAGTGTGGGTTTCGCCTGCCTGACAGTCCGGCGAAAGGGGGAGAGGAACCCAAACCTTCTGTTTTTTCCGTGTCACCACAGTTTTCAGGCGATTCCAAAAACCGTGTAGGAAAGGAGTGCCTAGAGAAAGAACAAAAATCCCAAAACCCAAATAAAAATAGCATAATCCCAACAACATCCTTTTCGCCTGTACTTTGTCAGAAGCCTGAGTCGGAGGATGCCAAGGTCCGGGATGGGGGGAGCCCAGTGAGTGGCCCCTTGAGCCCGGCAGATGAGGCAGACGACGATGAAGGTGCATGGTCGTTTGAGCGTGAGTCGTCGTGTCTTTCGTTTGTTGAAGGCATGAAGTTGCAACTTGAAGTTGGAGAGCCCGAAACTGAGGGCGAGGATCCAGAACATGAGCATGCGCATGGTGGAGAAAATGAGCCTAAACCCGCGGGTGAGGGCGAGGACTCCGAACGTGATGATGCTGATGAGTTCATGAGCGTAGTAAGTTGGCATGAGGACTCAGAGGCAGATGATTGTAACGAGGATTTAGGAAAGATTCCGGAGATTGGGGCATGTGTAAGTTCCTTGGGGGATTTGTCAGTAAGACCTCGTGAAAAGTTGAGCGCGTTGGACAGGTGTGAGCAGTATGTTCGTCAACTAGATGAAGCTCAGCTGAGATTGAGCTCTTTCGCCGAAGATCGGTTAGCCGCGTGGATAAGCAGTGAGCCTCGGGATCTAGGGGAGGGAGAGAGTGACAGTGAAGGAGAGGAGATGAAACAGATGAGGGAGCTTTGGGAGAGGATCGGAAACATTCAACATGAGCTCAAGTCACTGACGCATGAGACATTGGGTGAAATCCGCGAGCGCGTAGGCGTAGAGGAAGCTCCGTCTGAAGGGGAAGTTTTTCAAACGCGAGTAGTGGGTTTAGCGGAGGCCTTGGCCAGATGGGAGGTTTGGGAAGGTCCGGCGCAAGATGAGCTGAACTCGCTTATTCTTGAGAAAGGTGCGTTGGTGAATGTCAGTTGGGCGGATGTGCGGAAGTGGCGTGAGCGTGGAGTTCGCGTCACCATACTGCCATCGAAGCTTGTTTTTTCCATTAAAGCACCTAATGCCAGGCACAAGGTGAGAGTAGTGGCATGCGGAAACATGGGGCCGCCGAGAGATGAGAGCAAGCATGAGTACAAAGAGTCCGTGTTCACCTCGTCACTGGACATAACACACTTGCGGTCAGCATTGGCTTTCTCTGCCAAAAGAGGTCAGGAAGTAGCCACGGTAGACGTCAGAACTGCCTTTCTCAACGCTGACTTGCTTCCTCGATCTAGACAGCTTGCAGAAAAGCTAGCCGAGAGCGGAGAGAGTTGTGAAGGACAAGGTGACATCCGGGATTCGGTTCAGGAGTTGGTAGTCCTAACGCCGCCACGGTCTCTCGTACAACGGGGTCTAGTTCGACCTTCCACCCTGTGGAGGGTGGATAAGGCGATGTATGGGCTAGATACGAGCCCCAGGGACTGGGGTCTTCATCGAAACTCGGCTTTGAGGGACTTGAGGATCATCGTTGGTGATAGGGAATTACGACTTTGGCAGTCGTTTGCTGATGAGAACTTGTGGTTGATTTCGGAAACGGAGCCGATTCAGGATTGGTGTGGACCTCAGGACTGGACGCCTTTAGGACTTCCGGCGAAGATCCTTGGATGGGTAGGCGTGTACATCGATGACATGATTATTGGAGGTGACAAAGCGGTTGTTCAAGGGGTTCTGGACGCAGTGACGGCTCGGTGGAAATGCGGGACACCCGAATGGGTAGGTCATGAGTCGTCTCGGCCTCTGAGGTTTCTTGGCTTAGATCTTCATTGGGGTGAGGGCCGGAACCTTCATATTACGCAAACCGCTTACATCAAAGAGCTCGGAGCCAGATACCAGGAGCAACTTAGCAGGGTCAAGGCCAGCAACTGTCCGATGGCCCCGGGGACCGGTGAAATCGATGAAGAACCGGAGAAAGAAATCAGCGACATACGCAAGGGGCAAAAGATCTTAGGCGAACTTTTATGGACAGCGGTTCGTAGTAGACCCGACATATCGTTTGCGGTGTCGAAGCTATCTCAATGGATCACGAAGGCACCCCGAAAGGTGTACGACCTAGCACTGCAGACATTGGCCTACTTGTGTGATGTGCCCGACGTGGGCTTGGTGTATGAAGCTGGCGAGCCTGAGAAGCCACATCCATGGCAACGGACTGCAAGCTCTAGAGGGCTCATTGAAGTCTTCACTGATAGCAGTTTCGCGCCGGAAGCCTCAAGGTCACACGAGTGTTGTATCATGCAGTTTGAGGGTTGTACAGTAGGTTGGCATGTGGCTAGACAACCTTACATGACTGCTAGCTCTTGTGAATCAGAGTTGCTCGCAACCTGCACGGGTTGCCATTATGGTCAAGCGCACGCTTGTATGATCAGTGAGCTGCTGCAGGAGCGACCTCGGGTACAGGTCTTTAACGACAACATGGCGGCAATTGCAGTGTTCACTGGACAGTCCACGCAGTGGAGAACCCGTTCGCTGAGAATCAAAGCTAGGACCTTGAAAGAAAGATGGAGCATGAACTTTTATGAAATCTTCCATGTCGATGGCGTGCACAACGGGGCTGATATAGGCACGAAGCCATTGGCAGCACAGCGACACAGATTCTTGAGGGAGATTCTAGGCGTGAGAGAAGAGAACATGTCCAGAAAACAGAGCGGTGCGAAAACTCCCAGTACACAAGAACTGAAGTGTCTTCAAGTGGTCTTGTTAGCATGTTGCTTGTGCGGAGCGCGGGGACAAGGGACGCAGGAACCGCAGGACGGGGCCATAGATTGGGGCGTCTTCAGTGTGATTGTCATTGGCGTGGTAGTCGCTTGGGAAGTGTTTAAATGGGTTGGTAAAGCATGTTTCCGTAGCATAACATGTCACGTGTCACATGTCCCGCATCAGCTTCATGAGCCTTTTGCTGAGGATGCTGTGTCAGATGAGGAGAGAGAAACCGAGCGGAGGGCTGAGAGAGACGAGAGGCTTAGGCTACGAAGAGTAGGGCAACCAGTGAGACACCCAGAACCAGATCAGGAACCAGCACCAAATCGTACGGCCTTCGGCCAGCCGCGTAGCCCACTAATGACTCAGTATGCTGATGACGCTATCGCGGTGTTGGATCGGGCGGAAGTGGCCTTTGAAGCCAACCAGCGGAGAATGTTAGGTTTGCCTCCGTACCCTCTCGTTGTTATCAATCCAGCCTGGGGGCCAGCTCCCAATCAGCCGACGGTCAGAGAATTGAGACGAGGTCAGGCTTCTTGGGGTGGGATTGCAAGCTCGCTTCATCACCGGCCGCCTGCCACGGAAAGACGAGACAGCTACCAGTTGGATCAAGCCCGTTGGGTCCTGATACGATGGCATGTTCGAGGACGAGTCCGGTTGTTTGACCCCACATCAACACGGATTCCGATTGACATCAGATGCTTATCTGGTAGACGGCGAACTCTCATCATCAAGAACACCGACGAGCGGGAGATTGTCGATGACAACTTCCGAGACCAAGCGCAGCGATATCTCCAGAGCGAGTGGGTTGGCCGAACAGAGTTCGAGGTACTGCCCGATCTGTACAGAGCATTCGTGAGGGATCCTGCGGAAGTGGATTGATGATGGCTTTGGCCATGCCAAAGGGGGGAGCGCGGAACAGCTCACAGCCAGGTCGTATCCTCAGCATCATCGTTATTGCATTTGACTGCTTGCCACCTCGGTATTGTTGCTGAGTGGCGTGGGAGGTGTGATGGTGCTGTGAACGCGAGTGGCCCAAACCCCTGCACAAGAATGACACGCACAAAACGTATCACCAGAAGACAGAAGTGTACAGAAAGACAGATCTGTAGATGTATAGTTTCATGATCACGTCGTCTTTTGTCGTGCGGTGGTTGAAATAGTGCTCTCCCCCAAACGGGAGGGTTTAGGGTTTAGGATAGTTAAGCCTCAAAGGGGTTTTTATATGGGTACTTTAAGGCCTAAGTATATACCATGTGGGTACATGGAGCATTAGGGAGAGGGTTCGGTCTCTGCAGTTGCGGAGGACTCCTCGTGCCGGCTCTCTCTGATTCTTAGTAGGGAACGGGGGGGAGTGAGGGTTCGTAATAAGGGTGCCGCTGTAGGGGTTTGGGGGTACCTTTCAGGGTCCTGTTCGGGATCTTTAATGGATCCGGTACTATATACTGTCTGGTTCTTAGTAGGGAATGGGGGAATGGATTATGGAGCCTCTACTTTAGGGATCCATTCGCCCATTGCCTACTAAGAACCAGACAGAGGTTGCAACGATTTAGCCTTCAATGAGTTGCCAATCTGCCGCAAGGTTCAAGCTTTTGAGAGGAAGTTGAAACCATATGGGGGGTGATTGTCAAAATTAGGGTCCGTTTTTGGGTACGCTGAATATTAGGTGCCGTACTATTAATAATAGGGACCCAAAAAGGGACCATGATTTTGACAACCACCCATGTGGACCTATGGAGGAGTGGACTCTCGTTTCTGGTTTCGTCTTTTCGGCTCTCTGGCATAAACACTCAACCCATTAATCCGCAGTTAAGCCCAGAACCCTAAAGCCTAAACCCTAATAGGATAAACCTTAAACCCTGAACCCCAATAGCAGAAACCCTGAACTTAGGTAACTTAGGAGAAGCCCAACAGCAGGAAGCCTGAACCCTAATAGCAGAAAGCCTAAACCCTAAACCCCCCATAGCATCAGTCCGAGACATTCCTGGCCGTCAAAGAAGGAAGGAGAACGTCAAACCCCCAAAACCTGAACCCTAAACCCCCAAACCCTAAACTCGAGTAGGAGCCTTCATCTTCGCGACGTCCGCCTCGGAGTAGCAGACTCGGTTGGTCTCTGCAGCGACCCAAACCTGTGGAGCAGGCTTCATGTTAAGGGTTTACGGGTTTAGGGTTTCAAGGTTTAGGGTTTAAGGGCTTACTGCATGCATGAGTCCTTTTTTCTGTGCGGGTAGGTAGAGGTGGGTAGGAAGGTAGGTAGGTAGGTAGGGAAGGAGGTACATGCTACTTGCATACTTGTTGGCTTGCTTGGGTGTCTGTGTGTTTGTTTGCTTGCTTGTTTTCGTTGGACTGCTTGATTGTCATGCTTGATGGTACATACACACATACTTGACTTGCACACCTATGTAACCACTCTCCCATTTACTCAGTCGCTCGGTGACACGCTAAGCGACTCCGCTCAGTCAGCCTATCAGTCGTTCAAACACTCACACAGTTACTTACTGGCCCTCACACAGACGCACACACACTCACACATTAACTCACTTACATGCACATGTAATTACCAACATGTGGACAGTACGAACTGTGTATGCGCATGCACCCATCGAGATGCGTATTAGTGCCTGCCTCAACGTTGTTATCAAGGCCATCATCATTGTCATCGAACCCTATAGGTATACACATAATGCTCTGCTTCGTACGGAGCACTACGCCGTCGTATGTGCTGACTCGTTAGATGGAATATGCGTCGTTATATCGTGATAAAATTTCACAATTGTCTCATCTCTATTGCAATCGTCTGTTTCTTACATTGTGCTTTGGGCATGATTATGGTTATATGCTATGACCCACCACGTAAAAACTGCGATGCTGCTCCACCTTGTGCCGGCAGGTATGCTTGCAATGCGCGAGCCATTGTTAACTTGACTTATCAAGTGTGAGCACATTGGAGTTTCCGTAAATAGGGGACTGTCATATAGTACCCTGAATAGCAGGATCCTTTTTTTAAGGACCCCCCCAAAATGAGGTACCCTGAATTTTTCGGAAACCCCCATATGCGGAAGGATGAGGCATGCTTTGGGCCACTGCCGGTGGCCTTGTGGTCCAGGCCAACCTCCTCGAAGTTGGCGTACTCCTGTCGTCGTCTGGGGCTTCGGAGCACTTTCGAGTTTGAACTGGGGTTTAGGGTTTAGGGTTGGATTTGAACTAGACTGGGCCTTTAAGTAACCAGAACGAAAAAGGTATACACGTCTACTTCATAGTGGTTCCTTTACAAAAACCAAAAGAATTACAGCATGACACTCCGAAGCTCAGTAGGGTTTCAGAAACCATGGCAAAGCAACGGAGAACCAGAGTAATGTCCAGATAGTAGACTCGTTGAAGTAAGGACCACGCAACCGCATGCTCCTACGAGACAGCATGAAGAAGTGTTTCGGAGGTTCTGTCGCTTTTGCTGTCTTGGCCATGTAGGCACTGGCTGTTGACATGTCATAGTTTCGAAAACACCACTGCCATGAGTCTGAGTGTTCTGGGATTTAAGCGATATGCCGACGATAAATTTGTGATCTCCACAGTGCTACGACCAAGATGGCGTTTGCTACTGCTTTGCCGGCTTCTAACACCGTGTGGTCCAAGACCTTCAGTCTTCTTGGTTCAAAAGCACCAGGTTCGAGCAATACTCATCTGCAAGCCTTCGTCAGTCTTGGCTCGTGCTTACACTGCAACACGCAAAATATCAAAACTGTTCAGGTTGACGAAGACAAACATGATGATTATGATGATGTTGTTGTTGGTGTTGCAGAATCGCTGATGGCGCTGCTGGTGATGATGATGTTGGTCACACAAGCAGTGGTCATGGCGAACAAGGTGGTCATGAACGATGAACTGTCGGACGGCCAGGTGACCACACTGTGCCCCCTCCTGGCTTCAAGAGCACAACCTGCGAGATCCCGCTGTCCTTGCCGAACGCCTCGGCATGCTCAGTGGCCTCTGCCGTGTTGAAGAAGAGCCGGCCCGTCCTGTGAATGTCTGACAGCCAGCAGGATGTGGGTGGTTGTCGATTTTAGGGTCCCTTTTTGGGTCCTTATCTCAATACGGCACCTAATATTTAGGATACCGAAAAAGGGACCATCATTTTGACAACCACCCATGTGTAGTTGTTGGTTAGCTCCAGACGCAAACATAACGGCTTAACTCGTGTGCATGAAAATTCACAAATATGGCTTGTTGAAGGATGCAGGGACATGCGGGCAAACTTCCGGTTCTGTGATCAATGTGTGGGAGGTTCAGAAAATGCCGGGCCATTTCTATAACCTGAATAATAGTATTCTTGAAATGACAACCGCTGAACAGGGACAGAAACTTCATGATGGGCCATGTTCGCAACCTTGCAAGCGACGGACTACCAGTGGGTGGTCTCTTGAGTTACAGATAGGACCCTACCAGTTAACTTATGAACGGAAACGACCTCGAACATCCCTAAACCCTAAACTGCTCAACTGTCAGCCTGCCCTGTCACAACTGGTCGAACCACTTCTAGCAGATTCTAGCACAAGGGGTGGCGCACCTTTGGGGGTTTGGAGCTTGGGGTTGAGGGTGTAATTATTAGCTGCTGACTTCATAAGCCCCCCCCAAAAGTGCACACTTTTAGTTTTATAGCGGGTAACATTATACCAAAAATGTAAAGTGTATCCGCTCAGCTACTAAGAATTAGGGTGCTCGACTCTGCTGAGGCAGCGGCTTGGTACACCGCAGCACCATCTGACCTTAAGGCATGCTACACTGGATCACGCGGTCTGAGATCTCCGTGCGCGTGCCCTTGAAGCCTATTACACTTTAGGATGGTTTGTTCCTTTAATGTCGCAAACGGTGGCAGAAATATGCAGAAATGGGCTTGTATACATCGGGACGAAAGACTCTAAGCTTCCTGAAACCCGAAGCGTTTGAAACCTTGGACCCTGAAGCCGTCACCAACCTTGTCAGAAGCTGATCCCGAAACCCCAAACCCCTTAACCCCAAACTCCTAAACCCTCGAGAGTGCCCGTGGAGCCTGTAAGTTCTATGCAGAAGCAAAGTGCGGTGGGGGCCATGCCGATAGCTGGAGGGCTTGGTTTAGGCTTCTAGGGTGCAGGGCTTTGGGGTTTAGGGTTGTTTTGAGGTACCTCCGGCGTTGTAGGGGGTTTAGGGTCTAGGGTATGTGGCTGGGGGCAGCAGGGTCCCCTAGACCCTAAACAGCCCATTATCATCCCTGGAACGATATGGGACTTGGGGCTCTTGCTTAAAATTAAGGGCCCCGGGTGCTTGCCGAGGATTCTAAGATCTTTGCCCGAACCATTCTTATAGTATTGCAGGGGTGCTGCAGACTCAATACCCTTTGGCGACACGTCCCCTGAGTATCCCACTAGCCATGGCTCCAATCACAAGCCAGCAGTGGTCTTGAAGATTTCACGGGGACTAGATGCAAAAAAGCAGAGGCTGTAAGCGTTTCATGCTGGGGCTGGGATTGTTGCTTCGATCCGTGTAAGTCAATGGAGAGAGGTCGGTAAGAGAAAGAAAAAGGCTGCTGGGTCTGGTATGTTGAGGCAAACTATCGCTGCTGTAGTTCAGCGTGAGTCCATGCGACTGGGCAGCTTACTCCCTCTTTCTTGGATGACGTGACACTCATCCGTCTGCTCCTCTAGGAGGTGCTTGGTCCTTGAGCCAAAGGCTGCATATAATAGCAGCACACTGAACCGCAACATAGCCCAAAATCGAAACCCCTGAAACCCAAAGCCTTCAAGGAACGCAACTCCTTGGCTTGTGCAGAAAGCAACCGAATTGGCAGAAACGGTTGGGAAAAAGGGACCTTGATATGGAAACCCTCTTCGATTGACGTGTATCTGATG